CCCCCCGCCAGGGGGTTTTTTTTTTTTTTTTTTCTTTTTTTGGTTCCAAAACAAACAGCAAGTGTAAATTACTCAACCCAAAATCAACATTTCTTCAAGTTAACTTTGGGTTCTCCATTTTTCTCCAGATGAATAAACAGTGCCAAACTCATGGATTTAAGAGTTGCAAAGGAGGCCCAGTGTAGTGATAAACACCTTTGATGCTAGCATTTGGGAGGCAGAGGCAGGAGGATCTCTGAGTTCGAGATCAGCCTGGTCTACCAATCAAGTTCCAGGACAGACAGGGCTACACAAAGAAAGCGCAAAAAAAAAAAAGCCTTAAAAAAAAAAAAAAAAAAAAAAAAAAAAAAAGATTTGCAAAGAATGCTGGACAATGTGGTGCACATCTGTACTACTAGCACTTGGTAGGCTGAGACAGGAGAATTTCAAGTTCCAGGTTAGCATAGCCAACATAATGAGTTTCAGGCAGCTTGAGATAAAATTGAGACTCCATCTCAAACAGAAACAACAGAAAGGAAAAGAAAATACAGCAACAGAAAAAGAAACAAAAAGAGAAGAAAGTAGACAGGCAGGCCCAAGGAAAAGCCACGCCAAGCACCTGCTCTTTAAGGGTGGAGATGGAGATGACCCCAGGGCATTACCACACACACACACACACACACACACACACACACACACACACACACACACACACACACACACACACACACACACACACACACACACACACCGGTGGGGCTGGGAGAGACGACTGCCAAGGGCTCAGTGCAGCCAAGGTGCATTAAAAGAATGGTGCAGGCTGTTAGTGACCTAGGAAGCTATTGCTTGTCACCAAAGTCTACCAGTATTCTGACAGGCTTTTCAAGGCAGGATCCACTCTATAATTTTGTTGTTGATCTCCTAAAGCCATAAAGTGGAGCTTTAAAAATGCATTACTTGTTTAAAAGTAGCTATTTATACTTGCAGCCTAAGCAGGCACTGGTGTACACAATTCAGCCTGTGAGCTGCTTGTCAATAAAGGCCAGCAGAGGATCACAGTCTATTTGAGGATGCCCAATGCCTTAGAGAACACAGAATGTTAAGCAAAATATTCTCTTTCTTGTTTTTAAAAGGAAACATGGAAGATATTCTGTGGTCTGATGATATACTCGCATGTGATTTCAGAGAACCACAAGGTGGTCAGTATCTTTCTTGCCAAGAGAATACCCACAAAGTTTTATGGCAAATGCCACTCTGTCCCAAAAGATCCATTTCCAGACTGTTTAGATTAGTAATGGAGCAAAACAACTACGTACTTGCAGAGGACATAGCAAGCAAAGGGCCTTCAAACCAGACCCAGCTGAGGATGTTCAGAGATGTTGCTGGCACAGGAGTCCTTCCTGCCGCCACTGCCTCCTCCTCCTCACAGTCCAGCTTCATGGATGAGGCTGAAAGCCCAGACTGTGGCATCCATCCCCTCAGGACTCCAAAGCAAAGCCTGCCTCTTTCTTTCTACTTTAGTCTCAAGTAACCAATGCCACCCCAAAGGCTCTGGCATCCCCCTTAACCAAGTGAAAGCAGGGCACTGCTCTGCTCAGACTGTGGCAGCTTCATACTTAAGACTCTGTGTGTGTGTGTGTGTATGAGTGTGGTGGCAGGGGTGGGGATGTCAGTGGGCAAGCCATAGCAGTCAGGTCAGGATTGGTGGCAACTGCCTTCACCCACTAAGCCATCTTGCCAGCCAATCAGTCTTTAAGTTCCATCTTATTAATAAGGAAAATGAGGTAAAGATGTCTAGCAACATGCCCTAGACTCCCTGTCTCATTAACAGCAGAGCTGAAGTCAAACCCAGTCTCTAGAACCCTTTACAGTAAGAGTGAGCACCCGGACTGACATCCTACCAGAGAGAACAAAGACTTCTTAGTGAAACTGATCTGAAGCAGAAAGAAGGAGGGGGGATGGAAGAGGGGAGTAAGCCAGGCATAGTGTTGTGTGGGGTGTATCCAAACCTTCATTTCTAAATACTATCTTTTTTATTTAAAGGAACCAGGGCTTCTTGACCAGTTCAGGGCTGTGGTGGGAGAGTCAAATGTTCTGCACATCTTGTGCTCAGAGAAGGAAGGGAATATGTTCCATGCACATGGGAACTCACACTGGCCAAATCTGAGGCAATTTGAGCTTCAAAATACATAATAGGGGCTGGGAGTTCAGCTCAGTGGTACAGTTCCCAGCAGCAAACAACCAAAGTGTTAAGTTTTATGAATAAAGTGCATGGGTGTATGTGGCTGTAAGTAAAGATACAGGGAAACTGGCACAGTAGCACATATCTGCAAGCCCAACACTTGAGAAACTAGTGTGGAGGATCCATGTTCCAGGTTCTTACTTATAGTCAAAAATCAATTCACATGGAAGAAAGGGCAGATTAAAATCTACTGTTTGACAGCCATCATAAAAATACTTAATTTGAGTAAGAATGATCATGCACCATTAAAAGTAATACATGCAAGTGTGAGAAAGGCTTACATAGTCTAATAGTAACCTCCATAAAAAACAGTATTAAGAAAATAAGAAAAATGCAATTTGGCAGTGCAGACGCCTGGCACTAGTTACTTTCAGTAGGCTGGGATCACTAAAAGGAATGCGTCATCATTTCTGTGGTCTTCCTGACAGTACCACAAAGTGACCAGAATCCAAACAGCAGAAAACGTCAACAAACCCAAATTGAGGGCCATTCTACAAAATAACTGGCCTGTATCCTTCCAAAATGTCAATGGCATGAAACACAAGAGCTGACAAACTATTCCAGAAGCAAGGAGATTAAAGAGACATAATGCTGAACTCAACATGCAACTCAAGACTCCCCCTCCTTTTTTTCCCTTTTTTTTTTTTATAAATTTAAATTAGAAACAAGCTTGTTTTACATGTCAATCCCAGTTCCCTCTCCCTCCCCTCCTCCCCTGCACCTACCAACCCTCTATCCCATCCCCTGTATGCTCCCCAGGGAGAGTGAGGCCTTGGGGGGGGGGGGACTCCAAAATCTATCATATCATTTGGAACAGGGCCTAGGCCCTCCCTCATGTGTCTAGGCTTAGAAAGTATCCCTCTATGTGGAATGGGCTCCCAAAGTCCATTCATATACTAGGGATAAATACTGATCCACTACCAGAGGCCCCATAAATTAACCAGACCTCCAAACTGACATCCTGGTTCAAGGGGTCTGAGTCAGTCCTATGCTGGTTTCCCAGCTATGAGTCTGGGGTCCAAGAGCTCCCTCTTGTTCAGGTCAGCTGTTTCTGTGGGTCTCTCCAGCCTGGTCCTGATCCCTTTGCTCATCACTCCTCCCTCTCTGCAACTGATTCCAGAGTTCAGTTCAATGTTTGGTTTTGGTGTCTGCTTCTGGTCAAAGACTCCCTTTTAAGATGGCATTTTGAGACAATAAGGGAAACAGGAACAAAGTCTACAGAATCACTAATCACTAATACTAATGCATCAGTGTCAGCTTCCTGATTTGGGCAATTATACCATGATTTTGTCAGAAAATGCGCCTGTGTTTAGGACACTAAAGTATGTATGTTTTGTCTGTTTGAAGACAGGATCTCAGTATATAGCCCTGGGTAGCCACCAACTCAGAAATCTGCCTGCCTCTGCCTTCTGGTTTCATTTCCCATAGCCCTTGCTCTATGCCAGAGTTCATGTACTTGGTCACTGGGAATCCTGATACAGCATATGCTATACTCAGAACAAGGTTTCCCAAACTTGGCCCTACTGACATTTTGGACTGGATCATTCTCTGTTGTGAGGGGCACCCTGATTACAAGTAAGGTGCATAGCAGCATCCCTGGCCTGCCCCTACAGCAGGTGCCAGTGTTCACATCCTTCCCGGTAGTAATAATCTCCAGATAATGCTAAAACCTCCTCTTGCCAGGTGTGGTGGTGAAGGTCTTTAATCTTAGCACTTGGGAGGCAGAGGTGGGCAATCTCTTTGGGGGGGGGGGGGGGGGGGGGGGGTGTTAACAAATGTATCAGTAATGCACAGCCAATATTATTCTCACTAACATCAGTTACTGCTGCCTGTTCACGTGGCTGCAATGGAACACACACAGTGCATTGACATAGCTTTTTGCCTTCTAGCATTTACCAGTTCAGAGGTGATAAGTGAAGAATAGGGTAAAATCATGTGGGGAGGGGACTCCAACTAACACTGACATGCAGGACATACACTTGAGGAATGGCCTCATTTCTTCAAGGAAGAAACAGCAACCAAGTGGCTGGGGATGTGGTTCAGTGGGCACAGTGCTGGCTGTGCAAGTGTGAAGACCCGAGATTGAAGCCACACAAGTCATGTGTAGTGGGCTATCTGTAACTAACTAACGTGCTCCTATAACAAGATGAGAGATGGAGAATCTCCAGAAACTCATGAGTCACTTAGCCTGGTGTACACAGCAGCGAACTGGTGGCCCTGTCTCAGTAACACAGAAGTCATATTCAACCCAGGGTTGTAGTCTAATTGCCTCACATACTGCCCCTCCCCAAAATACAGTGCCAAAGAAGATGGGAGCTGCTACAGACTGAAACTGAGAAATGGGAGCTGAGAGGTGGCTGAGTAGTTAAGAGCACTTACTGCTCTTACATAGGACTTAAGTTCAACCCCTAGAACCCATGTCAGGTGGCTCAAACCCACCTGTAAATCTAGATCCAGGGGATCTCTGGCCTCAGTGGGCACCTGCACTCACATATACAGATCTATACATAGATACACACAATACACACTATTTTTTAAAACAGGTTTTTTGGGGTTTGGGTGTTTTGTTTTATGGCAGGGTCTCACCCTGTAGCCTTGGCTGGTGCTTACAATGTAGACCTGCTGGCTTGAACTCACTGAGATCTGTCCCCCTGCCTCTGACTCCCAAATGCTGGTATTAAGAGCAAGTGCCACCACACCAGTCAAAATAAATCTTTTTTTTTTTTTTAAATGACATGGTTTCTCTATATAACAGCCCTAGCTGTCCTGAAACTCACTTTGTGGACCAAGCTGGCCTCAAATGCAGAGATCTGCCTGTCTCTGTGTCCCGAGTGCTGCGATGAAAGGCATGCACCACCATGCCTGGCCAAAATAAATCTTTTTTAAGAACAGAAATATATTAGGCAAATACAATGAGTGGGTCTTGTTTATATCCTACTTCAAACAAAGCAAAATGATAACTGGGCTACTGGCACAAAATGGACACACATCAGTTATTAGATGACATCAAAGAATTCTTAGTAAATTGTGCTACAGATCTTGCAGCTGTTGAAAAAGTTACCAACTGGTACAGATGTTCACTTAGTATTTACAGCTGAGTGTTAAGATAAGGGCATCCAGGTTAAAAGCACCCAAGTTCAGTCCCCAGCACACACAGGTGGCTTACAGCCATCAGTAAGTAATTCCAGTTCCAGCTATCTTCTGACTTCTGCAGGCATCAGGCATACATGTAGTGCACATACATGCATGCAGACAAAACACTTATACATTTTTAAAAGCCAAAATACATTTTTAAATAAAATATTAAAAAAAAAAGAAGAGAAGGATCGGGACAGAGTGTGGTGTGAAGCTAACTGTCAAAGCAAGGTAAAGGCATCTGGGGATTTGTTTCACTATTCTATTATTGTGTGCTAGAAGGCTCTATTTCAAAAAGCTAAACAACCACAAAAAAAAACCAAAAACAAAAACAAATGTTGAGGGTTAGCAAGGGTGGGTGACTGCTACCAAGCCTGACGACTTAAATTTGATTCCTGGAACCCACATGGCAGAAGGACATGCTCACAAGCTGTCTGCTGCCCTCCACTCATATGCAGAGCACATGTCCCTACTCCACATGTATGAACAGACACTTCATGAAAAATGCAGATAACAAATAAGCACATGGCTATCATCAGTAGCCACGAAGGGAATGCAAGTTCCAACTACTGACACACCTCTCCATACCTACTAACTACAATGACTCCAACTTTAAAAATGCCAAGTGACAGCCAGGATTCCATGTGACTGTGACTTCACACACCACTGGTAAGGAGGCAAATGGTACACCCCTGAGAATGGTTTGACAGTTTCTTATAAAGTTAAACATATTCATACCATATGGCCTGGCAGCCTCACCCCTTGATATTACCCCCAGAGAAACAAAAATTATAATCACATAGATACCTATTACACAAGCATTCATGTTGATGAACTCATGACCACCCAAATCTAGAAACAACCCAAATGTACTTCAGTAAACAGATAAGCAAGCAATGGTAAATCAAATACAAACTACCTAACAAGAAAGAAGAATGGATTACCAACATTTGTAACAAGGATTAATTTCAAGAGATCCATGCTAAGTAGATAAGGCCAGATTCCAAAGGCTCCGTGATATGATTATATTCAGATGATGCTCTGGGGAAGGAAAAAATATGTG